CACTGACTGACGAGTCCTTTAAGTTTGCCATGTCGATTAAGAATGTCTCTAGCTTTCGGTAAGCTATTATCAACCGCTTTACAAGCCTCTGAAGCGTAATACTGGGCTTGTGGCAATGAGGTGAGATATTTCGCACAGGCAAGAGCGATCTTTGCTAAATCTGAACTACGATTTACAGGCGAAGCTACAGTGCTTTTTGGTAATGAAGACGCTACAGTTCCCCTTGTTTGTGCTCGCTCAGTATCATCACGGATGTTTGCACGAGGATCAGAATCAGGAACTACCACTATCTTTTCAATGTTCACTGCTCTGATTTCTTTACCAGTTGAAGGGTGCCGTAAACGTAGCAAATCTTCACGACCGCGAACATGGCCAGTGACAAGATAGGGTCCATCATACTTCCTAAGAAAACGAGTTGCTGCCCCTTTTGCAGTTGAGCTTGGAGGCGGCAGTCGTACAAAAACTCTCTTTCCTTCAGGCACATGGAGATCTCTAGAATGCATGTCATAGTATTCTCGCTGAGTTCTTTTAAGATCTGCTTTGATTTTGTTAAATTGTTTGCGGGCTTCAATGGAACGTTTGATAAGTTCTTTAGCATATGAAGCTTGAGGAAGAGGTGAGGGGGGCAATTCGAGGGTAAGCACCTCTGGAGAAATGGGATGTCTGCCAAACACCAGGAAGAACGGAGTTACTTGATCTGTTCCAGGAATTGGAGAGGTATTGTGGGCGTAAGTGGCAGGTTGTAAGAATTCCTCCCATAGCTGTTGATTTTTCTCTCAGTGAATACCTAAAGCGGAATTAAGCAGCGGTGCACTCTTTCTGTAGAACCATTAAGGCGAGGGCGATAACTTGTGGTGAACACATGTTCTATAGATAGCAAATTGGTGAGTTCTTGGAGCAGAGACTTGACCCATTCACCACCTTGATCACTTTGGAGTACTGCGGGAAAGCCATATTCAAGGAACACATGATCATACAGGGCGCGTGCTGCGGTGGTAGCTCGTTTGTCTGAGACATGTATAGCCCGTAGAAAGTTTGAGTAAGGGCACACAGCTGTCAAGATCCACTTGTTTCCATTAGGCTGAAATGGATGTTTGTAAAGGCGAACTTGCATGGGACCGTGATGTTGTGCAGCAGTTTTGAAACGGATGCAGTCAGGGCATCTGCGAATCCAATTTCTGACATGTTCCTCCAGTAAAAGTCATTTGGCAGAGATTGATATGTGGCTTCTCAGCTTCGGTGCATTGCAACAGGAGATTCATGGTAGGTCCTTAACAGACGTCTACGGAGCTGGATATCATCAGGAACTACATAGCGGTAATGATTTGGATTGTCCATTAATTCGTCACGGTACATGAGGACACCATCAATGATGGCTGCACGTTTGGAGAAATGCCGCGCCGACTGCAAATGTTTCTGTGGAACACCTCGGGAATTTTACTTTCCCACCTTTGGAAGAAAGAACTTTGAATACAAGTTTACACCAGTGATCCTGTTGTTGTTGCAATGCAAACTGGGAGCGATGAAGGTTAAGTCCAGGTAAGGCAAGCTAATAGTCCTCAGATTTGGTAACAATTGGAGCTGTTACAGACGAGTCAGGATCAGGTGCAGAATCAACATTGACAGGAGCTACAAGACAGATGAAGCGAAGGTAAGCAAAACTACCGTTGAACGTATCAGAAACCAGTGAGGAACTATGATTTGGGATGCCCATAGAGACTGCAAGTAGGACAAAAGAGTTCACACCATCTTCTGGAGCATAAGGTTCCTCAAATGAAGGTAAGTCTGACATAGGCTGACGACTTACGGAATCAGGTACCGTGTTCGTAATTCCTGGACGTAAAGTCCAACATGAGTACAGAAGGCACTTTTCTGACGATCCTGCTGGCGTAGGGGAATTTGCCAGTATCCACTGACAAGGTCACAGTGTCCAAACACTTTTCCTTGGGAAACTGAATCAAGAATGCTTGCAATGGAGGGAATGGGGTAGCCGTCACCCCAACTTACACTGTTTAGGCCTCTGTAGTCCACAACAAAGCGTGGTGGTTGTCGAACACCATTTTCCCGCAGTTTGCGGACAAGAATACGAGGTGCCCCTCATTCAGATCTACTTGGTTGGATAATTTTCATTTTAAGTATGCGCTGTAACTCATTCTTAATAGCAAGTAACTCTTCCAGACTTTTCCGGTAAGGATGTTTGTACACAGGCAAGGCATCTTCAGTGTCAATGTGATGTTCAAAGCCTTGTATCTGACCCAACAGAGAACCAAGGAGGAGAAAAGCTGTAGGATGTTTGCGTATAAGCTGCTTAAATGTTTGGAGGATTTCTGCATTAACATGAGCATATTTCGGCGAGTCAAGAGCCAGAGCTTTAAGAAGAGTCTGATGATACTCCTCTGAACTAGGATCCAGTGGAAGGGTCGCAGAAGGTACAAATTCATGTTCATGAAACTTAGAGATTTTCTCGCTAAAGGGTGAAAGGATTGACGAATCAAGTCCGGCTGCAGCTAATTCTCTGTTCTGTTCAGAAATTTTCCATGTTTGTGCTGAAGAAATCTGAGTAGCCTTTGTGATAGGAGGTGAAGTTGATGATAGTGACTGTCCGTTGACCCAACACATCCAACTGTCTGCGAGAATGGTAGCAGTGTTCTCAGCTGCCTCTTCAAAGTCTTTACAGTCAGCATTGCATGATGGTCTAACATGTCCAAGAACAATGTTAAGAGGAATGTCAGCTTGTTCCTGTTTGCATTCAACTGCAAGAGTTGTGGTAAAAGCAGGTTCTAGATCCGAGACAATATCCTGAGCAGCAAGAGGTTCCAGTGAATCTGGAGGAAGAGTACAGAGTGATGCATGGCAAGAGGCAACAGGTCGGTGCTCATCTGTGATGGCAGACATGTGAAAAGGACCACTTAAAACTTTAACACCAGGCTGAATTTCCTGACCATCAACCCACAAGTCTGATCGATTGATTGATTGATTCACGTTTATTTGAATACGGCTATTTCAAAAGTTACATAACTTCTTTACATGAAAGCCGTATAGAAACAGAAGTAAATACTGTAAAACTACACTAAAAATATGTACAAATAATAAAATATTATGTAAAATATAGTCAACAGTTTGCCTGCCCACTAGCCAGTTTTCTTTTAAAGATGGCTTTAGATTCGGACGCCATTATGTCATTTGGTAATGAATTCCACAGCATTCCTCCTCTGTATGAGAAAGACCCCTTATAATATTCTCTTTTGGGAACGTGGTCCAGTACAACATTATATTCCGTATTTCTTAGCATAGACTTATAAGGGTTGTTCTCACAGACATTCGAGAAAAGATCGCTTAAGTAACTAGGTACATTTCCATTCACTGTATCATACATTAATAGACTTGAGTGCCTTTGACGCCTTGAGGCAAGCTCTTCCCAGTTTAGTTGTTTTCGTATTTGTGCTGAACGAACGTCATAACCTTGAAAGGTTATTATGCGTGCAGCACGATTTTGTAATTTCTGGATCCTAGTGGCAAGTCCCTGGTCTAAATTGTCCCAAACAACGTCGCAGTAGTCGAATACAGGCTGGATAAGAGATTTGTAAATAGTATTTAGAACATCTAATGGTACATAATCACGTGCCTGTTTTAGACCACTGATGGATCGATTGACTTTTGAACAAAGTTTGTCAACATGCTCGTTCCATTTAAGATTTTCATGTAAGTGAATTCCTAAATATTTTGTTGTTTGGACTCGTTTAACATGATTGTTGCCAATCTTAATTGGAAAGTCTCTTCCTAAGTTAGATAATTTGAAGGTAGTTGTTAAGAACATATACTCCGTTTTAGTGACATTTAGGCTTAACTTATTTGCAAGAAGCCAGTCCCTAACGCGAGTTACGTCATTATTTACCTTGGCATATAGTTCAGCAGTGGAGACAGAGGACGCATATATCGCGGTATCATCGGCATACATGTGTGCTTTGGTATGGAGAAGACATCCGGGGAGATCATTGATATATATTAAAAACAACAAAGGGCCTCAAATTGAACCCTGTGGAACTCCACAACTTATCAACTGGGGCTTAGATACACAGCCCTCTACTAGACACTGCTGTTGCCTATCTGATAGGTACGATGAAAACCAGTCGAGCGTTACACCCTTCAGACCATAGAGCTCAAGCTTTTTTAATAAAATATTATGTGAAAGGGTATCAAAGGCTTTGGCAAGATCGAGAAGTACAATCAAATTGGTCATGCCTTTGTCAATGTTAAGATACCAATCATTTTTTAAATGTAACAGCGCTGTCACTGTAGAGTGAAGGGGACGAAATCCAGACTGGTTTTTTGTTAACAGGCCATTTGAATTTAAGTACCCGTATAGTTGATCGTAGACTACCCTTTCAAAAATCTTAGAAATGGCTGGCAAGACAGATATTGGTCTATAGTTTTGTGCATCTGTGCGATCATCCTTTTTATACAGAGGAAATACTTTAGCCATTTTCCACTGTGAAGGAAAGAGGCCAGTATCTATGGTTTTGTTTATGATACAGGTTAAAGAAGTGACAATAATTGGGCCAGCTTCTTTTAGAAGCCGACATGAGATGTTATCAAGGCCAGTGGCCTTGTTCGGAGATAATTTACCTAATAACTTTAAAACTTCAGTGGTAAAGGTATGTTGTAAATTAAAAGTCGTGGAAACAGGCTTTATGTAAGAGTCAAAACTTGTATTTCCACGAGGCAGTGTTGAGGCTAGGTTTGGACCGACAGATGTAAAATGGTCATTTAAAATCTCACACATTTCTGCGGGTTTTGTGAAGGAATTATCACCACTTTTTAGTTCACTTATTGAAGAGTTACTAGTGCACTTACGATATGTTAACTCATTGATTGTCCTCCATATTTCCTTCGGGTGACGGTGAAACAGCCATCAATGACGTACCAAGGGTGAGACAAACAGAAACAAAGTTAAGTCCACGATTTAGTTTGGAGCTAGTAAAAGGAATGCCAGGTGAAGGGGCTCCTGTGAGCAAACAAGTTACTCCAGCATGGGTGTTGTCCCTCTGGTGTAAGCCACCTCTGATTGGACTGTCAAGGGAGCAGGCAATGTTGAAAGACATGCTAGGATGACGAAAGAGGATACTGGGTTCACCATGATCCACCAAGGGTTGTGTAGAGTGCAAATGGTTTTCTCCAAATAGGATAGACCAGGACAAACGTGGAACTACAAGCATCTGAAATGTTGTTTTTCTACCATTGCTCCACTGTATGGGAATTTTCATAGTGCCAACAGCCTTTAACGGAGAATTTGCATCAGCAACAGAAACTGTAACAGGTGTTTCAAGTGACTGGTACTTTAAGTGTGGACATTTGGAAGCAACATAATCAGCATGAGAGCGACTGACAAGAGAAACTGAGCAACAACTATCATTAGGTAGGGGAAGTTTCTTCCCAGCAGAGACTACAGGTGTCCAAAGGATGTGACGTTCTTTGAGTTTTCCGGCAGTGTTCGTAACAGCTGGTAGGCCAAACACAACATTTTTTTGATTTTCGGTGGTTGTTTTCTCAGCAGCTGGTTCGTTTGAGGTTGGTAGGCATGTGGCTAAGGACTGCATTCGCTGTTCCGTATGACGAATAGCTTTACAACCCCATTTTTGACATTCAGAACATTTGTGAAGCCGGCCAGCTGAACACTTGTTACTAGAGTGCTCACAAGTTGCTGAGAGGAACTTATTAAATTTCTGCAGACCTCAGGCGATTTCCTTTTTGGTGCTGCTGACCGTTGTGGGCATTCATGAGCTTTGTGTTGATTATTTCCGCAAATCCAACATGAACTTTGCTTATTTTTGCTATCAAATTGACGTCAAGATGAAAACAAGGCGGTTCGCTGAGGAACTCCATTAAAAACTGTAGATGACGACGAGGAATTACTTGTCAAGGGCGAAGAAGACCCATTACTTGCAGCAGCGATGAATGAATGTTCGATGCGACGAGCGGCTTCGATAGCTTTATCAAGTTGTGTCACCTGATGAGCTTGCAAAACGAGGTGTTGGGTAAGATGCGGTTGTAACTTGGAAATAAACTGAGAAGTAACATACGTGGGACAAGATTTCGTCAGTCTTTCGCCCAGTTTATCAAGTTGATGAAAAGTGTTCTTGTATTTAAAGGCAAATTCATCCACGCTCTCAGAGGGATCTTGTTTCATAGCACTTAATTCAGCTGCCAATAAATAAGCACTTGTAAATTTTTCAAAGACCAACAAAAGTGCACAAGCCCGTTACAAGTACTTATTTATTCCAAATGGCACGAGAAAAATCATGCGTGCGTTTTTAGTTCATTCAACTGATTGGCTGAAACAGACTACCACCTTTGTCAAATTCAAGACCAACGCTTTCAAAATCATTCAGCTGATAACTTGGAAATGTGCAAGGATTTTTTAATATGGTCCCTAGCCTGTTAAAGATAACTTGGTTTACAATAATCAGCAAAAGTAAGTGTTTTTAAATTCATCCTCGATTATGAGAGCTCCGCGTTTACAAGAAGCGTTTATAAGAAGTATACTACCGCTTTGAAATCAGGAGAACGCTTCGAGCAGCCAAAGATGAAAGCCACTTGCTAAGGATTTTTAACGACTGTTCATCATTGTCTGATCCTGAGACCCCATCATAGCTGGATTCAAGGAGAAATTTTTGAGATTTAAAACCCGAAAATGAAGGAGGCAATTTGTTTCTTTCGACGCTGCCATCGACGGGTGAGTGGAGCCACAGTTGTTGTGATGCCAAAAAACTGCCAGTATTAATATACAGTATTTGCTTTTTCTCAGCGCTGGAGTCGTCGTTATTTGATTTGGCCTACTGCAAGAGTCATCGTAGCTCTTCTTCGTCGGCTTGATCGTAGTCGTTAAGGAAATTTATACTTCTGTGGCCTGTGACATTGGCGATATGCTCTGAACTTACAATCTTTGCTTTCTTCGGCTCCCTTACTGTTGTTTTTCTTGCACAAGGCTAATACTAGGCTAGTACCAGCTACGGATACTTTCATTATGTACCATTGTGTACCAGCTACGAATACTTTTATTATGTGAGTTATGGTATTTTCGCCCATTGGTTTAGTTTGGACCAGATGTTTAAATTTTCGGTTTTGTTTGCTACTGAGGTAGAAAAAAAAAACAGACCATGAAATGGATTTTTAATAGAGGTCTTCGTTCCACAAGACTCAAAGAGAGCACCCGGACACCTTTCTCCTCCAACAACTAACGTACCTGACTTGAAATCCCTGTTGTTATCATGGAAAACTTGTATCCTTGTTCATTTAAATGCCTGAAGAGTGTAGCTGTCATGGCTTAGCGTAGTCACTTATAAGTAGCTTGTTGTTTAGATTCTCTGGCTCATTTTCCTCGATTTTATTGACAGTATTTTTCCCTTAGCAACGCAATTTCGATACATTTAGCCAGAAAGACGTACTTTTTACTGTGTTCGGGTTTATGGAATATTTTTTTAACTTTTCTATTGTCGTTTTGCTTAAAAAATTAAATCCCGTCTTCGTCTGCTGAAAACCATGGCCATTTTCTTGAATTTTTGTTGTTGAAACAGCTCTAATCTGATTGGTTCTTGTTGGTTTCTTTTGTGTTTTCAGCCAATCAGAAAGCATTTGTAATTTGCACTCACGTTACAAGTTTGCACCCGTGTTACACATTTTGCACCCGTGTTACAGAAGAGCTGCACTACTTTCTCAGCCAATCAGAATTGAGTAATTTTTTCGTGTATATTATTACATAGTGCTTAGTGTTACAATAGTGGTCGATTATTACATTAGTGGGTGAGCTTCCACTTCAAGCTGTTTCAAGCTGTATCTCATGCAATTGTCACCCGCACGTCTGATCAGCTGTGATACAGAAACTTTCTTTCGGATTGTCACTGGCTAGGGACAAGAGTATGTCAGACTGTCTTTGGTCTGAATCAACAAAAACTGAGATACTTTAAAAGCTTTCAAACACAATGATAAGCAACCTGTAAGCAAATTTTGCTAAGGAAGTGACATTCTGCTCAGCTACAGGCGGATCAGGCGGTCCTTCTTCCCTTTTTCATTGGAAGGCAAGAGGAAAAGTAGGCGTTCATTTTTCGTTCTTTGCCCCTCGCTCTTCCCCGCAAAAAAAAAACAACAATAACAGTAGTAATGGTCGTCTATTTGGCCACCATTCTTATGCAAATGAGTTGTATTGTTTTTTCTGGTTGCTGATTGGCTGGACATTTCGTGACTTAGTACTATCATGTCTCGGTAAACCAACGAATCGGAAATATCCCAAAGCGAGGCTCGGGTGTTCGGAAATAGAGTCGGAAATATGTTAATGAGGGATGATATCATGAAGTAAGAGAAGAGAGATATTAGGTGAGCATATATGTGTTAAAGAGAGACAAGAAATACATGTGGGAGAGAATTTCTGTCCCCTCATTACACATGCAGAGTGCGCACGACGCATGCGCAGTAGAGAAATTGTGTTAAAACGTTCTTAAACGTAGTGAAATCAACTGTAGAGTGCAAATAACGTTTGTTTTTAGGTTTTATAGTAAACAGAGACTTTGATAAAGATGAAACAAATGTTTTATTAAGTTTTTACAGTAAGAACTCAAGAAAGAACACGGCTATGAACTAACATCGTATCATTATGTACAAAAACATACTACCTCAGGAATACTTCGTTCAAAAGTATCATTGAGTTCAAGTAAAGCATCTGGAAAGTCGTAAATGTTCCTGATGCCAACAATGGCAGTTTTTGGTTGAAAGGCCGGCAAAGCAAATTGTTTGCTGGGCATTTGATCACAGGCGTAGAATAAATCTTCACCTTGTCTGTACCAGGGCCAAATCTGTTTTTCCACATCATAGACATACAGGATCTTGTTTAGCAGTTTCGCCATTTCCACGGCCCAGCCAGTTGCTCCAAAGCACACGTTACTTTCGGGCTGAAAGTAAGTAAACGCCAACGCCATGTCTGCTTGTTCCACCACATGATAGTTTCGGTGAATATACTGTAAACTGACAAGATTTTGTGTCTGTTGTTTGTTGAGGCGAGCAGCGACTTGCAATCTGATGGGAATTGCTTCGGCTAGTTGAGTGATTGTTAATGGAGGGACTGTTTTACTTTGTGGATGACAAGGTGGAATTATGACTTGTACAGTTAAACCATGGTCTCTTGCTAACTTTTCAGCTTCCAATTCCACACCTAGTGCGCCACCAGTGAGAATCGTACGGTTGTACACCCAACATGGTACTATGTCTGACTTTATCAAGCGTCGTTCTATTTTATAGAGTGTTCCTTGCCTAAACAGTGACGTCATTGCCTGAACATGTTCATGTCACTTGAGACAATTTTTGGAGCAAAGATTTTGTAATAAGTAATGGAGCGTGTTGACAATTCGTCAAAAATAGTTCCGCTCAGTGCGTAGAGTTTATAATTCAGTTGATCAAAGGTCATATCATAATTACAAAGGCCTTCTATTAAAAGAGCTTCAATAAATTCTTCGTACGACGAAAACTCAGAGGGTTTGATGCGTTTCAGAAGTTGATCCATGTTGATACACTGCATCGTAGCCTTCTCTTTCTTGCTTATCTTTTAAGAGGTCTTTGATACGTTTCAAGTCCTCCTGTAGACGTTGCAGTTGTTCTTTTACACTGTCAATCTTCTGCAGCAGTTCAGCGGGGGTGCTCATCATAAACATCGGGTACATGATTGACATAACCATTTACTCCACATGGCACAAAAAATGTATTATCTTTCAATTCATCGGGATAGGTGGAAGGTGGTGGATATCCAATGTCCAAGTGGACATTGAGATAAGCATTTCCCGTGACTGTTTTGGTGAATTGGATGGTGAGTGTATGATAATAAGTTAAATGGGTATCGCTGTACTCATGGGTATGTTTGGAGACGATTAAATTTCGAATCTCCAATCCAGTGCCATCCGTGGAAAATTGAGAATGATTGAACAACCATTCATCTTTTTGACACCACTCCAATGCAATGGTGTAAGTGTTGCTTTTCGTTAATCCAGCCATGTTTAATTCAAGTTCCCCATTATAAACACCTTTCAACACTCCATCTACGACCTTGACTCCTTCCAACAGCGTAACATGCAGAGGTTTTGCTTTCCAATAATGAGGAGACACAGGGAGATCTACAAAGGAATCATTTAACTCTAAACCAGAACTCATTCGCCATAGTGAAATATCGGTCATCCATTGTTTGAAAACATTGGTTTATGTCTATGGAGTTTCAAAGACACGGCTGGTTGCTTGTTTGAATGCTTCATTTAAATTCACAAATCTCCAACTGAATGTTGAGCAAAGATACGGTAATCCATCTACCACATGAATGGGTTTTGTAAAAGTAAATTTAGCATTGAGACACGTCGCAGGATCAGGTTTGACAGAGGTTCTTCCGTAGGGAAGTTTTTGTAGAAGAACCGTTTTGGGGGTGTTGGGGTAGCTAAATGAGTTGGAGCAGATGAGTGAGAGGTAACCACAAGTGGAATACGGC